GATTTTGTCACTTTTTGTCTATTTCAGAAAAATTGTTTTCTAATTGATAATACTGGATTCGTAAATGAAAATAAATTCAAAGTAGTATTGGTACAATGAAGTAGGCCATTACGACTAAGCTAGATCATTAATTTCATGTAGCAACTAGCAAGTAGAAACCAAGAGGAAATCGAAGTGGGTGACATTTCAAAAAGGGAATGCAAACAAGCCAGTGAAATTATTAAGATCAAACAGCAAGTCAAAATAAACACCTTAGATATTTTGGTACCCCATCCTTGTTAAGAAATTTCCTTTATTAATAATTCTTTAGTAAATTAGTTTTACTAAGATTATACTTAAATATTATTAGATTTATTTGTAAAATATTATTTTAGTGATAAATCTAGAAATATTTAAACATGACTTTCACAAAACTAATTTAAGACATCTTTATTATTGACGTATTATACATTTATTTGATATGTTTTATATGCTAATTAATTTAAAGTGTTAGTGTCTTATTAAATCCCTTCACTGCCACGGTGCCACCTAGGTTGGTAATGTTTTCCATGTGTTTCTTCTTCCTTTTTAACATTATTGAGATTTCACTCCCACCCCTTTTTAACATATGTGTTGTGCGGGAAATCGGGAGAGAATAATTCCCTATTAGGAGAGAAGATATTTAGATTGACTCAATTTGGAAGTAAGATATTCAGATTGACTTAGATTCCAATTAGGGTAGCCAAAATCATGCAACTTCCTAATCCTATGTATTTGATTCTTACCTTAACTCTATCATGTAAATGGGTGCTATATAAACCCATCATAACTTGTTTTTTAAGCGGTTGGGCAACTGTTCTAAGAAAGGATTCATCATTTGTAATTCTCATTCAATAAAAGAAACAGTGAACGTAGGTTCAAGATTCAAACTTGTCAAACCACTTTAAAAATTGCCTCTTGTCATTATTTGAATTTTCTCTTTAATTGTTCAATTGTTGGTTTTCATTAAATCACCTACACATCTGTTTCGATTCTATCAGGGTCAATTAGAACACTCTGGCTGGTGTGAATTTTAGTATTAACATTTTGGTGCTAGAATGAGGGCTTGAAAACTCTGACCTCTCTCTGTTTTCCAATAGTTTCTTTTCTATCTTCCAACTGCAAAAAACCAGCCATAGCTACAACCCATGTCACCAAATCTAACTTTGGAATCAAAGTCGCTGCCAAATGGGGAGTATTTGAGCATGATAAGTATGAGTCTAGCAAAGTGGTAAACATAACAATTGTAGATCTTTGAGTAAGCTTTCCAACGGTTTGAGAATCCTCTAAATCCGAGGTTTGCAACTCAAGTTATCGTCAAATTATTGAAGCATGTTCCAAACTCACCATAACTCATTAATAAGAGTGCAAACTCGCCATAACTCATTAATGAGCGCAAACTCGCCATAACTCGTTAATGAGAGCGCGAACTTGCCATAACGAGTTAATGAGAGAACAAACTTGCCATAACTCGTTAATGAGAGTGCGAAATCACCATAACTCGTTAATGAGAGTCTAAACTAGCCATGACTAGTTAATGCGAGAGCGAACTCGCCATAACTCGTTAATGAGAGAACAAACTTGTCATAATTTGTTAATGAGAGTGTGAACTCAAGCATGATATAGTCTGAATATGGAAAAATGTTAAACATAAGAGTTGTAGCCATTCGAGTAAGCTTTCCAATGGTCCAAGAATTGTCCAAACCCAAGGTCTACAACTCAAGTTATCATTACAATATTGAGGTATGTTCCAAACTCGTTAACATAAGTGCGAAGCTCGTCATTTCAAAGCTCGTTTTGAGAGCCCGTCATTTTAGATCTCGTCATTTTAGAGCACATTATTTAAGAGCTTGTTTTGAAAGCTTGTCATTTCAAAGCTCGCCATTTTAGAGCTCGCTGTTTTATAGCACGTCATTTTAGAGCTCACCATTTTAGAGCTCGTCATTTCAAAGCTCGCTGTTTTATAGCTCGTCATTTTATAGCTCGTCATTTCAGAGCTCATCGTTTTATAGCTCGTCATTTTATAGATCATCATTCCAGAGCTCGTCGTTTTATAACTCATCATTTTAGAGCTCGTCGCTCCATAGCTTGTTTTTCTTGAATCGTCGTTTTTTAAGCTCATAGTTTTTTAAGTCTGAACTCACACTCTAAAAACTGGGGGGTTATTGTTGTGCGAAAATCCAGAGAGGATAATTCCCTATTAGGAGAAAAGATATTTAGATTGGCTTAATTTGGAAGGAAGATATTCAAATTGACTTACATTCCAATTAGGGTAGTCGAAATCATGCAACTTCCTAATCCTACGTATTTGAATCTTACCTCAACTCTATCATGAAAATAGGTGCTATATAAACCCATCATAACTTGTTTTCTAAGGGGTTGGGCAATTGTTCGCAGAAAGGATTCATCATTTGTAATTCTCATTCAATAAGAGAAACAGTAGACGTAGGCTCAAGATTCAAACTTGCTAAACCACTTTAAAAATTTCCTGTTGTCATTACTTGAATTTTCTCTTTCATTGTTCAATTGTTGGTTTTCATTAAATCACGCACACATCCGTTTTGATTCCGTCAAGGTCAATCGGATCACTCTGGTTAGTGTGAATTTTTGTATCAACAATATAAAAATTTTATGTCCACCTTGTGAAAAAAAATAAAATACCATCTTAAGATTATAAACATTTAACACGAATCTTAGCATAAAACATGAGATTGAAAAGTTAATATAGATACAATAAACCACCATTGAGTGACTTGATGGTAAAAAGGTAAAAGGAGGTTTTATTAGCTCATGAGTTCAAGTCTTCACAGGCCCTGATAAGGGTGACCACTGAGGAGCTTACCTGGATGTCAACTCTAAGACCTCAAAAAATTAATTGAGGTGTGTGTAAGTTGACCCGAACATCGTCAGTAATTAATATATATATATATATTATAGCTATATATTTATATATAATATTAATATATTATAGAGAGAGAGAGAGAGAGAGAGAGAGAGAGAGTTGAGTAGAGTTTATGAAGTAGGATTCCTTAAATAGATTTTCTCAAATTTAAAGTTTTGTATAAAAGATTTTAGTAACATCGTTGGTTTTAATATAAAAGGAATGGCAAAAATAAAATATTAATGATCTTATTTAATTATTCATAAGTTCTTTTTTTTTCCCGTTATCAACAATGAAAATATTAAAAAAAAAACTCTTTTAATAACAGATAGCGCCAACTATTTTATCATGTTAATAGAAATGGTGTGTTTGGTTTATTATTTTGGATAAGATTTTGGGAATAATATTGGGTAGTTGAATAGGGGAGTATTATGAGGTAAAATTTAAAAATTTCTAAAAGATCCCCTAGGTTTGCTAATTTAATTAAACACCCCAATATGTAAAAAAATTGTAAAATGACAAAAACACCCCCACCACTAGCAGTGCCAGATTCTAGCCACCACCGCCAGAATCTGGCCAGAAAATTACATTACAACATAGACCGGTCGGATCTATGTCGTAATGTGTCGATATGGCCTTTTCCGGCCAGATCCACCACAGATCTGGCCGAAAAAGGCCAGATCTACAGCCAAATATGGCCGTCGACAGTTGCAAAAGTCCATCTTTGGCCTTCAGCGGCTGACGATATCGCTGTCGTTGTCGGTTAACAACTACCATTTCTTTGGCTGTCGCTAATAGACAGATCGGTGAATTACTGGCCTTTTTCGGTAGTGGTGTAGGCCGTTGTAATAGATTCTGGCTACCACAGATGATGGTTGCTGGAATATGGCAAGTATGGGTTTAGGGGGTGTTTTTTTTTTTAACTTTTTAAACTTTTTTTTGGGTATTTAATGAAATTAGTAAACTTAAGGGGTCTAAAAGTAATTAAAAATACAATAATATTTCTCAAATAATGTGCCAAACAATATTTGGGGAATAGGATTGGGAATATGTATAATAACACGTTTGATTTATTATTTTGGATATGATTTTGAGAATAATATTGGGTAGTTAAATGGGGGAGTATTACGAGATAAAATTTAAAAATTTATAAAAAGACTCATAGGTTTGCTAAGTTAATTAAACACCCCAACATGTAAAATGACAAAAACACCCTCACCACTCGCAGTGCCAGATTCCAGCCATCACTGCTGGAATCTGGCTGGAAAATTGCGTTACGACACAGACAGGTTGGATCTGCGTCGTAACGCATCGATATAGCCTTTTCTGGCTAAATCCACCACGGATTTGGCTGAAAAAGGCTAGATCTACAACTAGATGACGGCCAGATCTGTGAACTGTCGGTAAGTTCTGATCGTGGTGTAGGCCGTTGGATAGATTCCGGCTACCACCGATGGTGGTTACCAGAATCTGACAAGTATGGGTTGATGGGGGTGTTTTTGTTAATTTTTAAATTTGTTTTTCCTGGAGGTATTTAATGAAATTAATAAACTTAAAGGGTCTAAAAATAATTAAAAAAATATAGTAATATTTTTAGAATAATGTGTCAAATAATATTTAGAGAATAGGATTGGGAATATGGGTAGAAATAATAAGACAAAAGCACCCAATTATTTAACCAAACGCACCAATATTTAATATTATTAAAAATATTTTTTTCTAATAAATATCTTAAATAGTAAAGCTTTGAAGCCTGCGTCGCATTGGTCCAGCTAGAAGGTAGACGTACCACTCACTTACACAGTGGACAAAATTCCAGCCAAAATATCTTCTGACCTGACAGCAAAAACTTGTATAAATTAACCTCGACATCTCGGATACAATAATTCTCTTTGGAACACCAATCTTTTAATTAATAAAGAAGGGCATCCATGTCATTTTCACCCTTCATCCCCCTGTATCCTTTCTATTCCATGCACACCTATCACCCATACATACATGACATGATGGTTCAACGAGATGACGTGGCAGCGCTGCCCTCTTAGGCGAGAGAGAAAAATATCATTGCCACGTATGCATCAAGCTAAGCACATCTAAAGATCTCCTCTCTCCCTCTGCCAAACAACCACCTCTTAATAAATCCCAAGCAACGGAAAAAAAGCTAAAAAATCTTTAGTCTAAAAAAAGAAAACTAAAAAAACAAAAATCTCTCTGGTTTTTTATTTTATTTTTTACTGTGACAATTGTATGCTTTTACAGAGAAGCAAGTAGTCTTCAAATTGTGGCTTTAATTTTAATTTCTTCATAATAAGAGATTGAGATGCCATCAGCTCCTGGTTGCTCTGTAAGTTTCATTTTTTTTTTAATGATTTTTTTTTTTTTTTTGGTATCTTTTGGAGAGTTTGAGACTGATTTTAGGTGCGTTTTTGGTGTAGTTTTTTTGAATTTTTTTAAAAGAAGATTTGTTCGTTGTTCAGCAGTAGCTTGAATGAACAGGCAGCAACTGGTTCTGTCTTTGAAAAACAGAAAACAAAAAATGAAGAAAACGTTTTTGTCTGTTATGTGCTTTTGTAAAACATTGATTGAACTTGGAGAGTTATGTGAATTAATTTTACTTTTCGTTAAGATTTCTGAGTCTCTACTATTCATTTTTTTAATTTTTTTTTGTTAATTAATTTATATTTATTTTGCAGAATTTTGGATTTTTATCATAATTTTGGCTAGTAAATATCGAGATTTTTGAAGTTTGAGAGTGCTGAGAAGTAGCGAGTGAGAGGTTGACGACCTGTAGTGGATTGATTTTTTTCAACAACAAGAAGCAAAACTGACGTCGTTTTGGGCGCTTGATTGGAATGTTAAACTACGAAATTTTGATTCTTGATTGGTAGGGTTTGCGTTGTGTTGTTGTTGCATGTGATTGGCGTAAAAGAGAGAAAGTTAATATTGGATTTGGAAGATAAATTTAGATGGCCAGTTCATCTGAGAGGTGGACTGATGGTCTTCAGTTCTCCTCACTGTTCTGGCCTCCACCTCAAGATGCTCAACAACGAAAGGTACAAGTGCTCTCTATTGCTCTGATGCATCTTTCTTTTGCTTAGTGTTGGTTTCATGTGCTTGCTTTGTTGTATATGGTTTTGTTTTGATACAAGAGGCTAAAGAAATGGTTGCTGCAGAATAATGTTCTTTGTGTGTGAAGAAAATAATTTTAGGGGTAGCCTCGATGGAATAAATGAGTGTTTTGGTAGATATGAAACTGGAGAGTGAAGTTTATGTGATAATTTCTGGATTTCAGTGCATGCTTGCCAGCATGCGAGTAGGGGTGATGGCTTGGTTAGTAAGGAAATGGATGCTGCAGGATATTATCCTGTTAGCATGGACAAAATTAACATTATAAACAGCCTTGATGGAGCACATGAGTTTTTCAGTCAATACGAAACTTAAGAGTGAAGTTTATGTGAGAATTTCTGGATATTAATGCATATTGGTGTGTGTATTAATAGCAGTGCTATCTTGATTATGATTACAAGATGAGTTTGCTGTGTGGAAGAAACAATAAACTCACAGATTTAAGCTGATGACAACGGTCCTACTGTGTGATGTTTAAAATGCTGCTAAAAAATTGTGTTGTGGGAAAGTGGACAAAATTTTCTGCCGGTCTGTTAGCTCTGACTTGTTTGAATAAGCATGAATAAAAAATTGATTTATTGATGGAACACATTAAAATTTAGTGTCTGAAATGGTTGGGAATAAACCATAAAACATTCTGGGTATGTATTCTTATTTATTTATTTATTTTAAATAATACAGAATTCAAGGCATTCCTATATCCACGAGTTGTATTTTATATGTTGTTTGCTTTCTTTTTATTTATTTTTTTCAGTTTTTTTAGTTTTTATTTTATATATAATTCATACCATGCAACTAGTATTGGTTAACTGAAATTAAATGATTTTGTATGAATCTAGTTTTCTTTCTTGCTGCACCTTTGTATGGTGGGTGCTTCACTTTCTACTTGGGGTTCAGATCTTAGATTTTGTGGAAGTTGAAATGATGGAGAGACTCAATACTGTACTGACCTACTTGAGGTGATTGAATTTGTTAGTCTTAATTAATTGAAGAATGATAGGAGAGTCTGGATATTTGACAGTTGGTTCAAACTTGCTGCAAATTTTTCTGTAATAGGCTCATTGATGTTTCTAAGGCTTCATTTTTAGCACTCTGAAATGATATAGAAGGCCCAAGGACCTAGCAAAGTGAAGTTGTTAGCTTGGTCTATTGTACACAGGAAACAAACTCAATTCAAATGATTTGGTTCAAAGAAGAATACCAAATATGTCCCTGTCTTCTACCTGGTATATTCTGTGCAAAAAAAACAAATTAATGCTGCCCATCAATTCATGCATTGCTCCATAGTTAGCTTTTTTTGGTATAATCTGATTATGGCTTTTAATCTAACCTTGTACCGTCCATCTTGTTATTCAGCACTCAAGGGCCTAGGCTTTGCATTTAGATATATTGAATTATTGTATAGTTGTTGCTCTGCCTAATCCTTTTACACTGGTCTTGGTCTCTTCCGTTACCAAAACTATGTGTTTATTGAAATGTATTTTCGCCCCTGCCCATCCCTGAATTGAAGTGCCTGGAGAGTGTGGAGGTCTCCTATAAAAAAATTAAAAATAAAATAAAATAAAATAAAAAGTGTGGAGATTGTAAATGAGAGTTCTATGAAGTCATGTATTACTGAAATTTACTCCTTCAAATATTGCTGTTGTGTTTCATACCCTATGATTAAGTTGCCTCAAATTTGCCAATAGATGTTTTATTGTTCTACCATGTGACCTGAATCACTGAGTCTGCAAAAGTAGTTGAGGGTGTCCTTGACTTGCTGCAGGAACCTCCTTAACAGATTTTGATTGTAATTTGCCACTGCAAGCAGTCTAGATCTAGATTATGAATTTAATCTTCTCAAAGAATGTCTAACATAGAAATAACTGAAACCAAAAGTAGGCTTAACCATCCTTTAGAGCGCAAGTTTACGAAATAGTTTAAATGCAGAAAAGAAAGCATTGTTTTATGCTTCATATTTCTGCCTATAAACATAGTGGGAAGAAGAAAATGGAAAAAAATTGATGTCTTTTGCAAATCCTGCGGAAATGGAGAAGAATTGCCTTTTTGCTTTTTAGCACCATAAATAATTTTCTTTAATTTCGATTCTTGAAACAGTCCACAGTAATCAGGTCCATGGAAATAGTAATTATCATATTTTCCGTGCGTAGAAGTAATTGCTTGTTCAGTGGTGGAGACAGTTTTCTAGCATGCTAGAGAGAGATTTGAGAGTAGAATTGCTACTGCTTTTTGTTATGACCGTTGTGGTGCATTTGGAAGGACATAGGCAAAAGGGATTGAGAGGATGGAAACACTTGGTGTCTATTGTTTAATTGGTGTTGATACTCTTTAGTCTTTACTCACTTTCTGTTTCTGTCTCCTTACTCATGAATTTTTCATTCTCTGAATGCGTTGACTTTATATATTTAAGAGACAAATTTCATCGATATAGGTGCAACTAAAATACTGATAGACTTCACGGTATTAATTTTTCATTGATGACCTCCATCGAATTTGACAAATTTTATATAACGTCAAGGGAGGTTCTAGTTTAGGTGAGGTTCTGTGATGATTTTCAAAATGTGTAGGGATGTTGGGACATTATTGATGAAATTTGGAATCAGTGGGGCTTGCTTCTTTTAGGCAAATATGGGAAGGTGAATAAGTTTATCCTGATTTAGATATATCTAGGAGCGCCTTTTTGTTACTAACTTTGGTCAAAGATTATGATCCCATAGCTTCTTGTACTACATTATTTGCTATTTGAAATGCAAAGAAAAAGGAAATTGTGCTTATAACCCAAAAATTTTCTAAGATCTTTGTGCCCCTTCTTTCTTCTTCTTGATTTGGCACTTGAACTTCTGGTGGAAATTTGTTCTTAGGTTATGATGTCTGGAAAGAAACAGTCATCAGTATATAGGGAAAACAATACAAAGCTCAGTGTCTCTATTATTTTTCACTCATAAATGAGATTGAGATAAGAAGAGTCTTCTAGTTTAGAAATAATAATCCTGCAATATGTGAGATCATGTATCCCTATCTGAATATTGTCACCCTTCACCCTTGATATACTTACAGGTAAGTCTCTTCGGTGTTAATTATGCTAGGAACTGAGTGTCTACCTCATGAACATTACGGTTCTTCTGCAGGTTTAATGTGAAACCTTTGTCAGTAAAACATTTGAGTGTGAATATAATGTATCATCTTATGATTGTTTTTTTAGTCTTCTGTTATGTTATCCGTGTTTCTTTCATTTTTAGTTTATAGATTCCTGTCTTTCTAATTCCATTTATACAGTTATTGATTTTGTATTTGTTTATCTCTTGGCCCCTTAAAGGTTCAAACTAAAGCCTATGTTGAGTACTTTGGCCAATTCACATCAGAACAATTTCGGGAGGATATAGCTGAGGTATACTCAATCTCTGTATAAATTTATCATGTGCAACATGAAATGAAAATAAACTCTATTAGTTCATTCAGTTCAGTATAAAAAAATGATAATTTGCAGTAAGATTTGTTAGAGTTAAGAGATTTTTAGAGATGTTGCTTACTCTTTACATGCTTGTGCAGTTGATTCGTAACCGTTATCCATCAAAGGAGAAGCGCCTTTTTGATGATGTCTTAGGTATTGCTTCTTTACCCATGTTAGTTTATGAAACAATTGATTGTCACCTTCAATTTATCATATTCGAGATTTTTTTCTTGGTTCTATATGATTACTTTTTGCATTTATTCAATGTACAGCAATGTTTGTTCTTCATCATCCGGAGCATGGGCATGCTGTTCTTCTTCCAATTATTTCATGTATCATTGATGGAACGCTGGTGTATGATAGTAGTGCTCCTCCATTTGCTTCTTTCATTTCTGTCGTCTGTCCTAGCAGTGAGGTATGGTGCTGAATAATTAATCTGCTAGAACTTTCATATCACTGAAACCCAACACCACCCTCTCCTCCCAACCAAAAAAAAAAAAACCCTACTTTATTTCTTAAATAACATGCCGAATATTGTTTGTTCATCATAAACTGTACTTCAGACTGCATTCAATTTTACACAGTGATATCTATATCTTCGATTCAAATTTGTTCAACAGAGAATGGAAAATACTTCACAATTTGAAGAGGAACTCCATAGTGGTAATTCATACAATTACATCTTTTTTGCAGAATGAGTACTCTGAGCAGTGGGCTCTGGCATGTGGTGAAATTTTGCGAATTTTAACCCATTATAACCGCCCAATATACAATTTGGAACAACAGAATAGTGAAACAGAGAGAAGCAATAGTGGTAGCCTGGCTACGACCAGTGACTCTAGAGATGGAGAATCTGCTCATGTGCCTTTGATGCTACATGATAGGAAACCTTTGAGGCCTTTGTCTCCCTGGATTACTGATATATTGCTTGCTGCCCCACTTGGTATCAGAAGTGACTACTTCCGCTGGTAAGTGAATTTTTTCATTCTTGCATATTGTTGTAACTATGGCTGGTGAAGTAACAGAAAATAATTATAGTCTAGTAGAAACAACAAATTGGGGACTGATTCTACTCAAACACTGTTGGAGCTACTTCTTAAGGAGAAATCAAGGAAACCAAAAAGCAGTAGAATATTTAAAAAATTCTAGAGAAAACCCTGATATTTTACCAGTGGAATACAATGATTACATTGAATGGATGCTGCCCCCTTTTATTTCACTAGCCTACTGCAATCTTCTAGTTAACTTTTAAGTTTCTAGGATGAATTTAAGAGCCCTTATAATTTTGGACTTCTTTTACTATTGCATTTACTGAATATAGATTGACTATTTATTTAATAACAAAAATCTTTTTTATGCATTTTTACTTGACTCTTTGACTGTTCATTTATTAATTGAAATCCATTTCCAATACTCTTTAATTGCCACATTATTTAGGGAAGTCATCAATGTTATGCTGCTCGTGTCTAATATTTTATATGGCCCACCAGGTTGCACCTAAACCAATCTTCTTTTCTTTATAGATATAAGAAACAAAAGGAAGGATTGTATTAATCAAAGAAAATAATACATCATAGTTAGAGTGAACCTCAAGTCCACTAAAACAAAAGAAAAAAGGGAATGAAAAATATAAACGAAGCCACTGCAACTTTCCAATCCATTTGAATGTAGAAAAAGAATTCACCTGAAACTGTTTAGTGACTGAAGCCTGCAAAGAAGCAAGAACATGATTTTTATTGCGAAGCAAATTCCAATCTAGCCACTTCAACTTTCCAATCCTTTTGTTGTCATTTGCACTGGTGTAGGGAAAACCATGAAGCTTAGTAATTTTAGCTCAGACTTTAGTTTGAGCATTATGGCTGTCAAGGATACTTCTCTGTGATTGAGTGGGCTATTCAAATCTATGAGAGAGTACACAATTGTTGTGCTTCACTCTGCAATTTCTATGCAGATGTTGTCAAATGCGTGAAACAAGCTGTCAGTTGGTGTCATTGTCATGAGAAAGTCGGGAAGTTGTAAATTCTATATATCTTTTCTCTTGCTCCACTGGACCTGCTAAATTTATTTCTCTCCTCTTGAACCTCAAGAATACCTAGTCAAGTGAACATCAAGAAAAACATGTTGCTGCACCCTTTTGGTTGAGCAGCATAGTGATTTCATTGATGATATTTTCACACTTATAGTTGATGATGAGTATTGGCTTGCCACAAAACTTGCCTTAGAATTGTTGTCAATTAGTATTTTCCCTTTATGTCATTTCTTTCTCCCTACTTTATTATTGGAATCAATGGCAGGGATGCTATATGCTGTTTTATCAATCTCACACACCTTTCTGTGTGTTAACAGGTGCAGTGGTGTTATGGGTAAATATGCAGCTGGAGAGCTCAAACCCCCAACAACTGGTTAGTGGAATTATATATTCTGGAAAATATCTGGAAAATATAGATAGTGTTTTTTTAATTCCCAAGACTCTGCCTTTTGTATCTGAATTTTATTGATGCCTTCGCATTCTTCTTTACATTAGTTCAACCTTTATAGTTTTAGCCTTTTAGGAGTCCATTTACTTTAAAGCTTGTGTCTTAACTATAAATAAATTAATAGAATTGCTCAAAGGCTTATGCTTTTGACTGCTGCATACGCAATGGAAGTGAAAGATAGATTATACCTCTAGTTTTGTTCCATGTCATTAATTACAATAGCAGAGAGGAATATTACATAACACTAACTAATGTTCTGCTGTTTTCGAGCTAGCTTCTTCTCGTGGATCTGGCAAGCATCCTCAGCTCATGCCATCAACTCCAAGGTGGGCTGTTGCAAATGGTGCTGGTGTTATATTAAGTGTGTGTGACGATGAAGTTGCCCGCTATGAGACTGCTACTTTAACAGCAGCTGCTGTCCCTGCACTTCTACTTCCTCCTGCAACAACAGCTTTGGATGAACATCTTGTTGCTGGGCTTCCAGCACTTGAGCCATATGCGCGTTTATTTCATCGGTAAATTTCTGAACCTTCTAGTGCATCTGTCTGGTTTTTCTTCAGCATGAAGGTGAGTTGTGTGTTTTAATTTTTACAGACCTATGCATTGAACATGATAAATCCCTAAAATCTGGATACGGGACATTATTATTCATGTCTGTACTGTGTAATTTACTTCTAGTATATAATTTACCAAAGTTTCCTGTTGGAGCTTAAAAGAAATTGAAAGTAGAAAATGATGGAAATATATTTGCTTCACATATAGGCACTGTAAACTATATATTGATCATCTAAAGTTGTGCCATTTTGAGATTGTCTAAAGAGGCCCTGAACATGGGTGGACTGGGATGTAATGTTTACAAGTGTTGAACATGGCTGTTGTCACTAAATTTAGATGTCCTTCCTATGGTAGTATTCTTCATCTTTTATTTTATTTTTCTGCATCAGTTATTATGCCATTGCAACTCCAAGTGCTACTCAGAGACTTCTTCTTGGACTTCTGGAAGCACCACCATCATGGGCTCCAGATGCGCTTGATGCTGCTGTACAGCTTGTGGAACTTCTCCGGGCAGCTGAAGATTATGCATCTGGCATAAGGGTAAGGCAAATACTTTTGGTTACATGTTTCAAGTTGTTATGAGCTTGCATCAATGTCAGTTTTATTTCACCCATGTCATTCAAATTTTTGGCAGCCCCTTAGTTTGTAAAATTGAGTTTTAGGTCATTGTATCTCTCAGATTTTTTTATTGTTTATTTTTAATTCAACTAGATTTATCACCTAAAGTAATAAAAGGCTATTGTGTTCAACTCATTTCTTATAAAGAATATCTGAGACATTGACTTAAAATCAGAAGGCTGCAAAATATACTTCCATGCTTTGACTATTATTGAACGTTAAGTGTTTGACTGTCACTGGTTTCTTAACAACCAAGGTACTAATGTCAAATTTGAAGTATCATGAATGATGTGCCTCATGTGATCACCTGTTTTGTTTAACTAGGGGACAAATTGACATTAGGGAACAAACTGACATTAGCTGTACACAAGAAGGAACTAACAGAAGGAATCTTTTTAATGGAGGTTGTTCTGTGTTAGATGGTTTACTAAATCTAACCTGAGCTACCTATCACATAGATTTTCACTGAAATGAGATTGGTTGCTGAGGGACAGCAGATTCTAGTGTGTGTGTTTTTTAAGCAACAGCTTTTCTTATTTTTCTTAATTATTTGATTTCGTTGATGCAGCTTCCTCAAAACTGGATGCATTTGCATTTTTTGCGTGCAATAGGTGTTGCAATGTCCATGAGAGCAGGTATAGCTGCTGATGCTGCTGCAGCTTTACTTTTCCGTATACTCTCACAACCTGCTTTACTGTTTCCTCCACTAAGGCAAGTTGAGGGAGTTGAAGTTCTACATGAAGATCCTGGTGGTTATATTTCAAGCTACAGGAAGCAGGTATTGGTTATCAATGTTAATTTTCGGCTTTTTACACTTTCATTCTCCAGGTTTATGATTTTGGTTGCCACAAAACAGTTGATGCTCTGCTCCATTTGAGCTTATAAGTTTCTTGTTTTCAGTTCATTATGTATTTGTTTCTGCTGTATCTGATTATCATCCCAACATTTTCCTACCAGATGGAAGTGCCTGCGGCTGAAGCAACCATTGAAGCAACTGCCCAAGGGATTGCATCTGTGCTTTGTGCCCATGGCCCTGAGGTTGAATGGAGAATTTGTACCATATGGGAAGCTGCTTATGGACTGATTCCTTTAAGTTCTTCAGCTGTCGATCTTCCTGAAATCATCGTTGCGACTCCATTGCAACCTCCCATATTATCATGGAACCTTTACATACCTCTTCTGAAGGTCCTGGAATATCTTCCTCGTGGAAGTCCATCAGAAGCATGTCTCATGAAGATATTTGTTGCCACTGTTGAAGCCATCCTTCAGAGAACATTTCCACCTGAGTCGTCCAGAGAGCACAATAGAAGGACTAGATATCTAACCAGCATAGGGTCTGCCTCCAAAAACCTTGCTGTGGCTGAGCTTCGAACAATGGTCCATTCACTCTTTCTAGAATCTTGTGCCTCTGTAGAGCTTGCTTCACGCCTGCTTTTTGTTGTCTTAACTGTATGTGTTAGTCATGAAGCTCAGACCAGTGGGAGCAAGAGACCAAGAGGTGAAGAAAGTTACTTTCCTGATGAGAGCACTGAGGAATTACATGTGACATACGAAAAACAGGGAGATTCAAAAACTAGGAAGCTGAAAAAACAAGGACCTGTAGCAGCATTTGATTCTTATGTTTTGGCTGCTGTTTGTGCTCTTGCCTGTGAGCTTCAGTTGTTCCCTCTGATTTCAAGGGGTATTAATCATTCAAACTTGAAAGATGGCCAAGCTATAGCCAAGCCTGCCAAAATAAATGGATCCACTAAGGAGTGCAAAACTAGTATTGATTCAGCGATTCATCATACTCACAGAATCTTGGCAATTTTGGAGGCACTTTTTTTGCTGAAGCCATCATCTATTGGCACGTCATGGAGTTACAGTTCTAATGAGATAGTTGCTGCAGCTATGGTTGCCGCACATGTTTCAGAACTATTTAGAAGGTCAAAGGCTTGCATGCATGCTCTCTCTGTGTTGGTTAGATGCAAGTGGGATAATGAAATTTATTCTAGGGCAACATCTCTATATAATCTCATAGATATTCACAGCAAAGCTGTTGCTTCCATTGTTAACAAGGCTGAGCCATTAGAAGCACACTTAATGCATACGCCTATATGGAAAGAGTCTATTGTATGTTCTGGTAGCAGAAAACAGAACAAATGTACAAGCAGTGGCTGCTTTGATTCAGGACAGCAATCTTTCTCTCGATCTGAAGATTCAGCCCGTTCAGAAATTCATCTTAGAAGTGACGGGGCATCACGTTCAGGTGAAGGCTCAGGCATTACCAGTTTCCCATTGGATGCCTCAGATTTAGCCAATTTCCTCACTAAGGACAGGCATATTGGGTTTAGTTGCAGTGCACAAGTTCTTCTAAGATCAGTGCTTGCAGAGAAACAAGAGTTATGTTTTTCTGTTGTTTCGCTTCTGTGGAACAAGTTGATTGCTTCCCCGGAAACCCAACCTAGTGCCGAAAGCACTTCTGCCCAACAAGGATGGAGACAGGTAATCTAATGTGTTCCCTGAATTTGTTTTAATTTTATTTATTTTCTCGATCGTATTGGCACCTGATATTTTGTAACTAAGTTGAAATTACGGTGTGAAACAATTATTCAGGAAATAATAGGAGCCTGAAAGAACTTGTCATCCTACAAAAGCCTAATCATTGTTGTGTTGATGGAAGTTGCAAATTTGACATGTTTCCCTGTTGTCTCTCTCCACTATTTTAATGCTGGGAATTCTTGTTAACATATCTTATAAGCTTTAAAAGTTTATCTGTGCCCATTTAGGATAGTCCAATTAAGGTTGCCCGCAATGTAGATATGATCAACTTTGTATTTTTGGTAGAACCTTGGATCTCTTTCCTTTGCAAGCCACTTAGGTTAGAGACTTTCATGGTTATCATTATAGAGATTAGTTTTTTTATGCAATGTAGAAAAAAAGTTTATGAATGGATGGAAACTATTGCCAACCCAACTAAAGGAGATAAACAAAACATATCCCTCAGAAATAATGAGGAAGGTATAAATTTTGACAGGTGCCTTATGCCCAACATAGTGGGTGTGGTCTGGTTGACTGAATGACAGAAGGAACAGGCACAACAGACTTCACTAATTAAAGTTATTCTACAAAAGTCTCAAGCATTTGATCCCCAACACCTGGACCGAATTTCAATTTATAGTCCTAGTGCTTTCTTGTCTACCTTATACTGTTCGATTATAAAGCTTTGAAACTGTTCAGTGTTATGTGAATTTCACTGCTCTTCAGTGGTTACATCTTTAGTCCCCCCCTTTTTAAACAACCTACACGCATACAATTTGATCTTTCCACTTCTTGCCAGGGCTGCATGGTTTGTTTTTTGCTGTAGCTTCGTACTTGTTTGGGAGGTAGGTCTTCATAATAGCAGACGACCCTTTCTAGCCAAGTGATATGGGGTTTTCCCACTTAACCTTATTCATCTTGACTTTACTGCCTCTAAGAGTCTTGGATATTGAAGACAATTACTTCTCATGCGGTAGTTGTCGTTAACTACAATATCAGATGTGATTCTAATTCCATGTGACACAACTGTTCAAACAATATAATTGTGTTCACTATCTTATTGTTTGCATTATGTATATATGTATATTCATGTATTAAATAGATTGTAATAGTAGCAGGTAACCGCAATTTATGTAACTGATATATACATGAGATCATATGCAGCCGTAGAGCAGTCAATGCAATTGATTCAGTTTGCTTGGTTTCATATATTTTATAGTTTCTTTTCTGACCATTTATGTGGATGTATTTAGGTAGTTGATGCACTATGCAATGTTGTATCATCATCGCCAACAAAAGCAGCTACAGCCATTGTTCTTCAGGTCAAAATTCTGTTCAACTTATTACTATCAATTTTCTTATCAGGCATTGACTTTACCATCCACTTGATTTCCCTAATGGTGATTCCATCTCCTAAACGGGTGGACAAAAGTTTGATACTACTGTTTCTGAATTGTTTAACATAAAAGTATATATGATTTTTTATTTCCCTGTACTGGAGGAGGTGTCACCTGCATGGTTTATACGATTAGCCTTCTTCCCAGTTGATATTGCTTTTCAATTGCTTTATTTGTTTAGTCATGTATACATTTCTACTTGTCAGGCGGAGAGGGAATTGCAGCCTTGGATTGCCAAAGATGATGATCAGGGTCAGAAGATGTGGAGAATTAACCAGCGGATTGTAAAACTGATTGTGGAGCTAATGAGAAATCATGACACTCCGGAGTCACTGGTGATTTTGGCTAGTGCATCTGATCTGCTTCTACGTGCCACTGATGGAATGCTCGTTGATGGCGAAGCTTGCACACTGCCACAATTGGAGGTAATATTCCTTCAAATTAGTTTATAAAGTTACATGATTATCCCGTCACAACTATCAAGGCATTTAGTTAGCTGGTCTAGCAGTCATTTTCTTTAAGCTATTCGAACTTCATTCACTTTATATTCTTTGCTAAAAATTATATAACGGAAATTTGATTAACTGAAGGTCTATGACCTTTTATGAAGTTGTCCCAATGCAATACATGCTTTCCAATTTACTTCAAAAGCTTCACTTATTTACAATCAACATTGACCGATTGCAGTTACTGGAAGCAACTGCTAGAGCAATTCAGCCGGTCCTGCAGTGGGGACAGTCCGGGTTAGCAGTTGCAGATGGCCTTTCAAACTTGTTAAAGGTAAACAGAATCCTTTCATGGCTGCATTTATTATGTTTTTGTCCCAAGGCTGAGATATGCAAAATATTGCCATCAAGGCTTCCTATGCAGTTGATGTAGCAACTTTTTCGTCCACTTGTATGCAAAAATGTTACTCATGTGCTTTAGCTGGTTCGATGTTTGCAGTGTCGTGTATCAGCTACCATCCGATGCCTCTCTCATCCAAGTGCACATGTCCGTGCATTGAGCATTTCAGTTCTTCGTGATATTCTGCATACAAGTTCAGTTAAGTCTAATCCTAAACCACCTGACAGAAACGGCATCCATGGTCCCTCTTATCATTACTTATACATAGATGCTATTGACTGGCAAGCTGACATCGAAAAATGCTTAACTTGGGAAGCTCACAGCCGAATCGCAACAGGAATGCCTATTAAATTTCTTGATATTGCAGCGAAAGAATTAGGTTGTACTATTTCCCTATGACACCAAATAAACTCGGCAGCTACTTCAGGATTGTCATTATAATTTAATTTTCCAAGTGAGACTTACGGATAGAAATCAACCTCATCATCGATTTGGCTTAAAAAATATGGCTTGAACAACGCACTTAACTATTCTTCTAGGCACACACAGCGTCGTCACCGCCCTGAAAATCGTCCTAGGATGATTGTGTATGGTAAAACAATAGCCAGAGAGCCATGATGAGGTTTTATGTTTGTGTTGAGTAATTTGATTCTGCTCAAGCTGGATTTGTGTATGATATAGGCCCGCAGTTTCACTTTGCCGCTCAGATTTGATGGTTTATATCTCTATCATCGTACCTTCGTATTTTCAATTTTCTTTTTATCTTTTTATAATTTTTTTACATAGCTTGGATGAGCAGGGATAATATATATATATATATATATATATATATAATATCTCAATCATCCTGCTTTGATAGTTAAGTTTCTTTTCTCCATTCATTGCTTTTATTATCTTTGTATTGTAACAAAGTGATGGCAGAATGTGCATACATTTTATCTCTTAATTTTAAAATTAAACAGTCAGCTCCTTTGAAAATTTGAAAATTATTATGAACCTCTATTTTAAAGTTAATTAATGACATTTTATGGAATTTATCTGGTTAAATAATTTCAGATTAATTTAAAAAAATTAGTACTCCATTTCAGCTTTCTACGCCAATTTAATTTAGAGTAATACTAGCATTATAAAGAGGCATACAAAGAAGCATATGAAGAGATAAATTCAGCTTTGAAAGAAGGAAAAAAGTGAAAGAGAGAGGCAGTCATAAATTTCAAAGATTGAATTTATTTCTTTGTATGTCTTTTTATAAGGTTAGTAGTACTCTTTAATTTGTTTTTCTCTTTTCTTTCATTATCGTAGCAGTGGCTTGAGACAATATGAGTAACCAATCAACTCAATATATAAAATCTAATTAAATGGGTAACCCAAAACCATAATAAAAACCCAGAAAGACCTAAGGTTTTTAAGAGTAACGTTATATGTATAAATAAATCTTATAAAGATTTATATATAGGATGAAGCAGCAAAAAATAAATGGAAAAGTTAATATGATGAGTTTGACTTTTTATATTCACTCTTCTATTTATTTTATGCTATATCAGTTTATATGTAAGATTTGTTTGTATATCTAGTATTATTGGGGTTTTTAATACTTTTAAAAAATGATAGATTTGTTTGGTACTTCACCGTGTCCGGGTGGGTGAATTAAAAAAAGGCTTGTACAAATATCAAAGAGATCCAGCATATTTGCATTGCATTTAGAAGATATTTGAGATTAAACTGTGTATTAGAAATGAAAACTATTTTTGTAACAACTAATACAACAAAAAATTGGCAAACAGTAACAAATAAAAGTATTACATCAGTACATTTACTTTTAGAAAAAATAGAAATAGAACATCAACAATTAAAAATAATAGCATCACCCTTTAAAAAAATTAATAACATAGATGATGTTAAAAAACAACCAACTCTAAGAGAATAAATATTTTGTTTAAATTTTTCTTGTGTTCATACACCATAGCAGTTACTGTTCATCCATAGCACTGATTATTTCTTAATTAAATTAAGGATTAGATAAATCTAGAAGCTTTTAATCTAGAACAACTCTAAAATTGATTCTAGGTTGCACTTGATCAGCTTGGAGGGTGCGTTTGATTAGCCTGTAACCGTTGGTCAACCGTGTTAGGTGGTCCCGAAGGTGGTCCCATACCTTGGTGGTCTCGATATCTAGGAGCAAAACTAGAACTTTTATGTTAGAATTATTTTAGAGATGTCTAATTTCTTAAGGAGATTAGGAAGTAACAATAGACGAGATGATAGTAATAGTAATAACGCTATTAGAATTAATAATCAACAACAAAACACAAATAATAATCAAGAATTAATGAAGTTATTAACACTCAAGAAATTAATACAAAAATTGATCAATACTTACATAACTGGAACATACCACCGGTTAGGAATGATACAATATGTCAAATAGGTAGTTTTGAATTTATGTCAGATTATTTTATTAAAACAACAGAAGACATAATAATGATATCCTTCAACTTTTCTCCGAAGAGGCAATGCATAAACATAGACAAAACAATTATAAATTTTTACACATAGAATTAGTTCAAGTAGTAGTAAAACCATTATTTAGATTAGAACAAAACATTCTAATATTAGTAATGTTAAGAGATGCAAGAAATTTAAACTTCAATAACTCTTTATTAACAGTATTAAATTCTAATTTAGAAAGTGATCCAGTATATTTTGATTGTTATCCAAACTTTACAGTAGGATTATATGATCCAACAATGATTCTGCATTAACAATTAATTTAAAAGCTTTTAATCTTACTTATCAAGATAAAACCCAACCAATAGCATTAATGTATAGAATTTATTACAAAGTTATGAATACTACAATTAGTCCAAGAGCCATTAGGATGTCCCCACCAAGACACACAGTTATTATGAAAGCTAATAGAACAAAACATAAAACTTCTACACCAAAAAGATTAGCTTGGGATGAAATTATTAAACAACCATATTGGAAATTAGAAAAATTATGCCCTCCAAAACCTTTACATGATAAAAATGAATCTAAAATACAATAAATAATACAAGAACCAGATGGTGCAATAAGATTAAAATTTAGAGAAATTCTTTTAGAACAAAATCAACCCATAATTACTAATAAAAATGATCACAGCCCTAGGATTGAAGAAATCACTACGCCTAAGCACTCATTAGCAAATTTAACAAGTAAATTAGTAGGTGTAAATTACTCCCCTCCTGTACCAAAACCTGCATATGATAACACATCAACTCCACCTAGTTCACCAACACAATTAGAAGTGTTAGGAAATTATAGTCAAATTAACACAATAACTAAACCCTTTGAAATTAACAAAGAATTATTAAAACAAGAATTCCTACAAAATTATAATAAAGAAAAAAGACAAATTTTCTTTAAATTATTTAAACCAGAAGAACAAAATACCCTTAGATCTGAATGGTGTAATACATAAGAAAAATTAAAACAATATATTTATTTCTTTAATTGGTTAGAAAATAGAAAATACTATCAAAATTTAAGTGAAAAGAAAATTATTTTTGTAACAATTAATACAGCAAAAAATTGGCAAACATCAACAAATCAAATTATTACATATGTATATCCACATCTAGAAGAAATAAAAATAGAACATCAACAAGCAGAAATAATTGCATCACTCTTTAAAAGAATTAATAAAATAGATGATGATAAAAAACAACCAACTTTAAGAGATATTAAAAATATTCAACATCAAAACAATTACTCTAATCAAATTCTCCACACTATTAGTCAACAAATGAATAAGATAGAAGATAATACTACACACATAATCAGAAAATTTTCAAAAACCCTTGGGAAGGAGATAGTAGAAATAGAGAATTCAACCTCTAATTCAACACCTTTTTATTCACAAAAATATGTTAAACCATTTTTTTACCCCTTTAATATACCAAAAGGAGAAATTGTTAAATTTAATAATCATAACACTATTTTAGAAACTATTAATAAAAAACCTAATGAATTATTACCTTCAAAATCGAACATTAATGTCCTTTTAAAATCAACCTTAATCAAAGAACATAATTATAGGAAAAGAAAATGTTCTTATTATAATAATAAAGGTAAAAGAATAAAATGTTGGAAATGCAAACAAGAAGGACACAATGCTCTCAAGTGTCCAACTAAAACACAAAAACAACAATCATTAAACCTTATTCAAGATAATTCTGATAATGAATCCAGTGATTCATCCGTAAATATAATTTATCAAGAAAACTCTACAGATATTTAGAGTGAATCTCTGTAAAACCCTAATAGTAGTAACTCATGTATGTCTTACTATTGTGCAATAAAATCAATAAATATGATATTAACCTTTAGACCTAAGTCAATAAATGTTATCACTAAATCAAAAGAATTTTTATTAGATATTATTGATAAAATTCAGGATAAAGATATTAAATGAGAATATTTATTAAAACTTAAAGAATTAATTTTATCTAAAGAAAAACAAAAGGATGTAGATTCTTATAATTTAAATGATATATTAAAAAGATTTGGAAAACCCGCACAAGTTACTCTTAGTGACTTGCAAAAGAAATTAATATTCTAAAAAATTAGGTCAAAGAATTACAAAAATATAATTTTGAAATTAAGACAGATTTATTATGTTTAAAAGCCTCTAAAGAAACTATAGGACAACCATCAACCTCAAAATCAGAATTAAAAATTATTGAAGAAACCGAAAAATCATTTATTAATGAAATCTCTAGAATTCAATTTCAAAAATGACATGTTTATATTAGGATTAATATTAATCATGAACTAGATATTATCACTTAAGCCTTAGTAGAAACATGAGCTGATCAAAATTGTATGAGAGAAAGATTAATTCCAAAAAAATATTATGAAAAAACAGAAGAAAGATTACATGGAGCTAATAGTCAACAATTAAACATTAATTATAAATGATCTAATGCACATCTATGTATACAAACTTTTGTATTAAAAATATTTTTATTCTAGCAAAAGATTTAGATCAAAATGTTATATTAGGTACTCCTTTATTACTCAAATTTATCCTTTACAGTAAATAATAAAGGAATTACTACAAATATTTTAGGACAAGAAGTAACATTTGAATTAATCATCCATTAGTAATTTAAAAAATATTTCTATATCTAGGATAAATGCAATTAATAAATTAGAGAGTCTAAAAATTGTTCCCGCAAGCAAATGAATCGATACTAGAAAATTTTTGGATGCTTGCATTACAAAAACATTTTAAAACTTTTTGCATAAAAATTTTAAAATTTTAAAAATTATGTTTTCAATAAAATACAAGAGTCAATTTTTTATTACTCTAATAGTCTCTCTCATAATAACTTACAAGACGAGATATTTATGAAAGAAAGTAAGGAAAAATGGGCACTCCCATCAAACCACAAAATAATCCAAAATCAAAAGCATCGTATGCAATGCTACCACCTCAACAACCTATTACTCCACAATCAAAACCTTCAAAACCCAATAAACAGAAAACCATTATTACCTAACCAAATCGGTTCACTCTTCTAGAGAAGAATCTGTTTCTTCATCACCCCCAAAAAATTACCAACGAGCCCTTACAATACTAACATCTTATTCACCTTTTCCATCAAAACAATTTAACATTAATCCAACTTTTCAATACATTGAAAAAGAAACAACCCAATCAATTTGTATTATTGAACCTGAATTCTGGGGACAAACTCTTCAAGA